GGTGTGTAGTTGTTTGGAGAGTGTCAGTATCAGTGTCACCCTGCCTGGCTCTGTCATTAATAGTTCTTTTCAAGAAAGGACATCCCATCCCTTCACACATCTATCCCTTGGAGAGAATTCCATGGTTCCAACCCTTCTGCCAACCACTGTTTTCTTCCCATGGAGTCAAGAGAGCCTGGAGAATTCTGAGTTGGGGCAGGAGCTTCTGCCAACTGCTTTCCAGGAATGTTATCCCACTCACTTGAGGCCCTGCTGATACAGGGAAGGTGAGACAATCTTCTCTCTTCATAAACCTCAGAATACCCCTTGCATCAGTGGACACATGTCAGGCTGACTCTTCCTGGACTCCTCATCACATCCTGCCCAGCTGAGGATCCAGGTGGGTACATGAGTCATCCACTGGGGGGAAACTCCCAGCCTCCCTGCCTGTGTGAGTCATTCTCTAGGGATGCTCCTCCCTGAATATGGGATTGGAGAGCAAACCCAGTCCTTTTTCATGAGGCAGCAGGAATTTGCCTCTCCACAAGTGATGCCCTCACCATGAGGCAGCCCACTCCCTTTCTTTTTTCCCTGTCTTCCTCTGACTCACAGAACACTATATTCGTGTATTTGTTTACTCATATAGTGGGCCAGGTACTGTTCTAAACATTGAGGGCACAGTTCTTTGGCCCCACAAAGCTGGCATTTAGTTGACGGAGACAATAAACAAATACATTGCACACAGTCATGGAGACACCCATTCTCGGAGGAAAATAATTGAGCAGAGTACGGGATTAGAGCTGGAGTGAGGAACCCTTTAGATAAGTTGGCCAAGGAAGATTTCAGTTAGAGGCTGGCTTTTGTGCATGTGAGTAGAGGAAGTAAAGAAGGAAACCACATGGTGATCTGGAGAAGCCCATTCCTGCAGAGGAACAGGGAAGGCTGTCAGCCACAAGGAGCTTGCAGACAGGACACTCAGCAGGACCCAGTGGGGCTAGGGCCAAAGAGCTGGGACAGAGGGTGGGTAGAAAGACAAGCCAGATCTTGTGAGTTTTGGTGGGCTGCCAGGGTAGCTTTTGTTGTGTTATTCTGATGTTAAGCAGAGCCATTAGGGCAGTGTTTTTCAACGTTTTTATCTCACTGGCTCACTTGAACCTGCAGTTAAACTTTGGATGAATGCTTAAGTTATGATAAAAAAAAAAAGAGCAAAACAAAGAATATGCTTACTATGCTTTGAAGTTCTTTTGAAAATAATTTAATGATCTTTAAAATTTTTTGAGGCACACCAGGTGAAAATAATTGCATTAGAGTAGTGGTTCTCAACCTTCCTAATGCCACAACCCTTTAATACAGTTCCTCGTGTTGTGGAACTGTAAAATTATTTTCGTTGCTACTTCATAACTGTAATTTTGCTACAGTTTTCCAATGGTCTTAGGCGACCCCTGTGAAAGGGTCTGGGGTCATGACCCACAGGTTGAGAACCACTATATTAGCAGGTTCTGAGCAGGAGGGTCAGGTGACAGAATGGACATCTTTGATCCTGGTTACTTCTGAGTAGACATTCCCCCCTGTAAGAAGGTAAGAATAAAAGCAAGGAGACCAAATAGGAGATATTGAGACCCTCCAGGGTAAAGAGTCAATGGTGGATTCAGGGAGAACCAGTGCCAGTGGCTGGGAATTACATGAAAAAAAAATCTGGCAAGAATAAGTGGGAATTTTTTAGCAATTAGGACTTACAATGATATTAGGTTTCAAGATTAATGATCCCCTTCCATTGCTAATGTTGAAGCTGTGTCTTGTTCCTAATTCAGAGTTAGGAAGACGCAAGACCTCCCAGGTCTCTCTTCCTTATGTGAACGTTCTCTCTTGGATATATTGCAGGTTTTCAATATCCACAACTAAATACAAGACGCCTTTGTGCTTCAGCTAGAGTGGTATACAGGAAACCATAACCCAGAGGGGGGTACGTCACATAGAAGCATAAGAACAGAGAGATGTAGTTTGTAAACTGGCTAGATTTTTTAATCATGGTGTGACTGTAGGAAAATTCATCCTCCTGCCACTCTGTTCTCTTGTTTTCTTACATGAAAAAGAAAGATTAATAACTCCTAAATGGTTGGTGCAAGGATTAAACGATTATTCTGGTTAAGCTCTTACTTTATCAGAAACAAAAAATGCAAAATCAGAAACATATTTGTACAGTATGAACATGGCAGAGTGGGTATATTAAGCTCCTGAAGGATCCTGTGATTTGCCCAAGATCAGATGCACATGGAGCTGCTATGGATGGAAAGAGGACCTGTGTAGGGAAGGCAAGAATGAGTTAAAATGGCCCCTGGTGAGATAGGACAACAGGAGGGCCACAGCCTTACAAGTTGTACAATCAGCATGTCACAATCCCCAGAAAGGGGAGATGGAACCTTGCACCATCAACTTCATGACACCATAGGAGTGGGTGAGAGGTCAACTGAAAAGTAGTGGAACCATGGAAATGGGTGAAAGGTCAACTAGATACTATTCATTTCCCTATCATGTATGTTAGAAGCAAGTATGGTGACAGACCACAATATAGAATCCTCACTTTGCACATAGAAAGAACCACTCAGGAAAAAGGAACATATGGGAAAAATAAATGACAGAGATCCAAAAGTGGCAACTCGCTTGGGACCCCCTCCATTGTGCAGGAGGCCTTGCTTTCTTTTCCCCTTTCTTTTATCTATAACAAAATCTTTCACTTTTACTTACTTGTGGTCCATGAATTCTTTGATTCCCAAGACCAAAGACCTGACAGGAAAATACCAGTATTACTATGGTTTATTACAGTTCAGTGAGTCAAGATAACCACACCTCTGCCTCCAAGACTGCCCAGAAAAGGTATTCTCCTCCTTACCTCAGCAGCTGGCCTAGTCTGCATTTCCTCGTGCTATTTCTTTGTCTTGGTTCCCCTCTTGCTGCTTAGACAGCCCATTCCAGTCATGCCACATTTTTCTCTATTCTTCATCCACAGTCTAACAAAACCTCTATGCCACACCGGCTATGGCAAAGTAGGTGCACTCAGAGCCAGGAAACAATGCTCCTCCCTTCCTTACTAAAGGACCTCAGTCATGGACCAGCTTTTAAAAACCTTTGGATGCAGCTAGAGCCTTAAATTTAAACCCCAAGGACAAGAGCATCTCTGGAAAAAGGTAATCTCTGCTGCTCAGAAGCTGTCTAGGGAGAACCTTCTTTCACTTCTCTGTGCCTAGCATTAAGGTGCTTCTGGGAACCCTGAACCAAGGTACAGGCTATTGGAGGAGCTGGAGCTGTTTAAGGAGTGCAAGTGGGTGATTTGCTTTCTTCCTGTCTAGGGGCAACTAGTGATTAAGGCACCAATGGTCTTAAGGCAGGGAAGGTTGTGAACAACTATTCTCATTGTACAGTGTATTCTCATTGCACAATTCTCATTGTGCAATTTTCCTAGGGAACAGTCCTGGTGCTCTAACCAGAAAATTAGAGGCACATATCCCTAATAGTAAAAATACCTCATGGGGCCCATGGATGGCCATGTGCAGGATCCACAGAGATGCCTCTTTGGACAGAGTCAGAGAAGTAGAGAAGTGATAGGTCGCCTGCTGTGTGGAAGGCTAGATTCAGACTCTCTCCCTTCCTCTAAACTCAGAGACTCAAAGCACTAGAAGGGACTTGAAGTGTTGTTCTGAAACCTCCTAATAATTCTAGATGTGATGGATGAAAGACATGCCATGATTATCACATCCTGGAGAACCGGAGCTACACCAGCCATGGCAACAATGAGAGCTTCCATTTGGGGTTTACTGGTTCTTATCCTTATTCTCCAACATGGATCTGGGCCAGAATCCCTGGGAAGCTTTCTCTAAAGAAATTTTATAGGCCAGGTGTGCTGGCTCACGCCTGTAATCTTAACGCTCCAGAAGGCCAAGGTGGATGGATTGCTTGAGCTTTGGAATTTGAGACTAGCCTGAGCAAGAGCAAGACTCCATTTCTACTAAAAATAGAAAAAAACTAGCAGGGCATGGTAACCCACATCTGTAGTCCCAGCTACTCAAGAGGCTGAGGCAAGAGGATGGCTTGAGCCTAAGAGTTTGAGGTTGCTGTGAACTATCATGATGCCACACTCTACCCAGGGTAACAATGAGACTCTGTGTCAAAAATATATATGTATGTATGTATATACAAAAATATATATATGTAATGTAATATATATATGTATATATATATTTATTTATGTATTTAAACATATATAATATATATTGTTATATTTATTATATATATGATAAACATTTCAGGGGAGGGAGGAGAAATGGGTAACATGTTTTCCTTCTTCTCTCCCTCCCTCATGTAGCCCACTATTGACAACCTCCTCCCCACCATCTGATCTACCTGCACAGAAAGCTCTGAAGCCATGAGGGACACCTCACTAGGTAAATGGTGTATTGAAAACCAGCTTGGACATGTTATCCATCCTCCTCACCAAAGACAATGGGATTCAAGGGCCTTTATCATTTGCCCAGCTATAAATGTACAGTATTTGCTCTTACCAAAACAGATCATAAAACCTACATTTGAAAATCTCAGGACATCTAGCTCTTTTGTTATCATATGTATTTAGAATTGCTCATTTATTTTGATAAAGAGCATAAAAAATACTGATGACCAATTTAAATATGATATTTAGGAGGTTTTATTAACTACCTAGAGATTTTAACAATCAGGAAAAAACAAGTCACCAGTAGCCCTAGGGTAACAAAGAAGAGTCTTGAAAATCTTTTGGAATCCCGAATGCTTAGATCCTTTCAGATGTTGTAATTTAAAAGCAGCCCCTGCCTATTTCCCTTCCCTTTTTACTTGTAACCAGTCCTTCTCAGAGCAGGAGCCTACCTTCAGGAACTCAAAAGCCATTAACACCAGGATGCAGCTTGAGTCCTAAAGTTGATAACAACCTCATGTACGTTTTGTGCTTTTTTTGTGGCCTGGCAGTGGTGGAAAAGCCCACATGCTACAGCATCCGTGACACTCTACAGATGGTGTGGGTTCTGAATGGAAAATCTTTAATAACATCTCCCTCTACCAACAATGTCAAGCCTGGTGAGTGATAATCTATGTGGTTGTTAGTCCTTAAAGGGACACTTACTCCCCTGGGGCTGGAGCTAAGCTTCAAGGGGTTCACTGCCTCTTCTGCATCTCCTAATGACTCCACATTCTTTCTGAAATCGCCAAAAGATTGGGACCCTTGAGGATTAGTCTGCAATCGTTTACATGCCCCATGAGGGGCTGGTGATCTGGTTCCTTGGATTGATGTACCAGCTCTATGCTCATGACTACTGTTCATGCCTCCAACACAGGTCTTCTCTCTGAATAGTTGACCTGTATCATCTTGATATCTCCCCTGACATCTCTAACTTCATGTATCCCAAGTGAAACTGTAGATCTGCTTCCTCAAAACTACTAAGGTCTCCATTAGCGGTGCTACCATCTTCTCTGTTCTTCAAGCCAGAAATAATACAACATTTGAAAATCCTGCATTTGATTGGACCCCTCCTTTTTTTCATCTTCCATTCAATCCATCAGCCAAGACTGATGAGTTTATACGCAAAATATACCCGATTTCTACGATCACATCCTCTCCCACCTGGACCACTGCCGTCACTTTCTCACTGCCCTCCCTTCAATTTTATCTCTGGAGCTCCCATTCTTTCTCCACAGAGCATCAGGAGTGACCTTCTTAATATGTTAATTAAATAATGTCATACCTATTTGTTTGTGCTTATAGGTGGGGGAAAGGTGGTGAGACCTCAGGTGTACCAATTTTCTTCTGGAGCCTTGAACTTGAAAACTCTTTTCCATATAGAGGACTTTACCTAAACTTTTATTTTCACTGAAACACTTTCCTTTCAAAGCCCCTCCACCACCCAATTCCCACTTCTTCATGTAACAGTTTTCTCTTAACTCTAAGGTCTTGATTTGAATTTCACCTCTGCAGAGAGATCTTTCTTGATTCCTCAGTCTAAATATGGTCTCTTTCCTACTACGATCCCAAACTTTCTCACTTCTTCCAAAGCAAGTATTGCAATTTATTGTAGTTTGGGTCATTTCTCTATTTACATTTTTTCACCTCATTTGGGAAGATTATAAGTTCTATGGGGGCAATGACAAAGTTTCTGTTGTCCTCAACTAAATCTCCAGTGCCCTATAGTGCCTTGTCCTAAGTAGGCATTCAATAAATAGTTGTTGAATGAGTGCTCCTATGTCCAGATGATAGATGCAGAACACCCAAGAACCTGCTAAATTAATTGAGAATTAAATTCAGTAGGTAGCAACAGAAAACCCACATAAGCAAGCCTTAAATGGGATAGAAGCTTAATTTTTTCTCATGCATAGAAAGTAGGAGTGGATTAGCCCTGGCTGGTGTGGTGGCTCCTAGCTGCCACCAGAGGCCAAGGCTCCTTCTGCTTCACCAACCTCGAGATCCTGATTTATACTATCATAACCTGATTTATATGATCAAATGTTTGAGGCAAGCAGTAAGACAACAGGGGTATAAGAAATAAACTCCACCTGGGTGAGTCACTCCTCTTAAGGAACATTCTTAGAAAGCCATACAACATTTCCACCTATATCTCATGGGCCACAACATAAGCATTTGACCATTTAGCTGTGGAGGTTGTGGAAAGTTTTTTTTTTTTTTTTTTAAGGGAGCAATGTGTCCTGGTAATAATTGGGGTTCTGCCATTAAGGAAGAAAAATGAAATGAGTTTCAGGATGGTGACAAATGGCTAGTGAGAGGAAATTGTCTGGGTGAGTCCTGGACACTCAGTGTCCCCTAGCTGGGAGGAGTAACTGGATGTCAGGCCAGAAGGACTGGACATCACCTGCTGGGAACCTAACATCGTCTCCATTTTCTCTTGTGTTTCCAGTCACTCTTGGAATAGTAACATGTAGAGACACAGAATTTCACAATGAAGAAAAAGGTAATATGGTTTACCTGGAAATCAAGAGCAAAAATCTATGTCTCTTCTGTGAAGAAATTCAAGGCAAGCCTACTTTGCAGCTAAAGGTGAGTGATTGTACAGCTAAAGAGGGAAGTGCTATCAAA